GGTACAATCACTGAATTATATAATATATGCACTGCTTTAACTCTTTCACTTTATACAATATTGCAATAGTTTCTGCTATTTTTGTTCTTAAATAATTAACGTGAGCTCTTTATGTCAGCATCGCGTAAAAAAAAAATAATTTCACTGACTCTATGAATTTCAGTACCATTAATTCTGAATGGGGCTTCAATATTACTTTGTTACTAAATATCCTGTAGTTTGTTTTGCCCAGATTTATTGATAATTTATTCAGCTGAAACCATGTTTGTATTTTCATAACTTCTGTTTGTATCATCGTCAACATCTGTTCAGTGTTTTCACCAGAGTATTCTGTATTTKTGTGTCAAATCTTATTTTGAGCATTTGTTGTTCACAGGTACGAGTCAGTTGTCATTGGCAACGGGCTGGCCAACCAGGTATCGAACCCTGACGTGGAGGTGGACATAACGAAACCAGATGTTGTCATTCGCCGACAGATCTCAGTTTTGAAGGACATGACGAACTGGCTGAAATCAGCGCACAGCGGCAACGACTGGTCTGGAACAGGTGAGGACGCTGAGTCTTCTTAAATATATATTTTTTACGTTTGAATTTCCACTCTTCAGTTTTCTGATCCCTCTGTGTTTTTCCCCACAGATGAGGAGAGCAGCGGGGGAGAGGAGAGTGGCAGCGGCTGTGACTCCCCATCGTGTGACGGGGACATATACTTCCCCACCACACCGAGCGTCAGGACACCCAAAGCCGGTCCAGTGAGCAACCCAGACAGCGCCGGGGTGTGGTCAGAGGGCAGCACGGTGCTGGTGCTTTGTGGGCTGGTCCTGGCTCTGCTGGCTCCTCACCTCAGATAAAACTATCCAAACAGAAAGGACCYGGATTAATCCAAATGAAGGGGAGAACCGTCAGAGAGACTTTAACAGACTGCCTTCAGGACCTCAGACTGTCCGCTGTTGGAAGGGGGGGTGGGGGTGGGGAAAACTCTTCTTCATATTACAGTAATTCACTATTAACTCTTTGTATGTTTGTAAGGACAGCAGTATAATTTTCTGCCAGAGAAATCTACCTGCTCTCTTAGGTAAGAATATACTTTAATGGCTCTTTTGGAGCTTCTTCATGGTTCTGCTTGCAGCGTAACAAAACATCAAARTGTCTCATTTTGGCAGTTTAATATCCTGACCTCCTTTGGGATGGTTGCCATCTGATAAACATTAAGAAAACATGTTTGGTCAAATAGAAAGCACCTGTTTTGGGACGTCTCCATTTTTTCCGAGGATGTTATTCTCTTCATTTATTCAGAGATGAAAGGAATGACAAGAACGCAAATGAAATTTAATGTTGCTATGAGTGTTGATAATTCAGAGCAGCTGTTTTGTGCCTTTTGTTTTTGTTTGTTTGTTTTTAATCCATGCTAGCTGAATTCTTTGTGTTTAGAAAGTTTTCAAACTTGCTTCTTGCTTCGGTCAAAGAGCAGTTTCAGAGAGGAGGAAGAGCTGAGCTCATCTCTAAGAAATACGAGGAGACGAGTTACATCCCAGGTGTTTGTGTTTGACCCACAGATGGAATCGTTCTGTACAAGAACCTGAACATGTTATAACYTCTGCTGTGAGCAAAGCAGCATCCAGGCTTTTAATTTCCTTATTACTCAGTTTCATTTCATCCGCTTAAGCAGTTAGAAGGTAACGCCATACCTCGAGTTRACTCTGGTTGTCGGTGCAATGCTYATGGTGTTGAGCTGAAAGTGTCTGACAGAGTTGGATGTTGTGGCAGGTGTTCCCCCTGTTCTGACCCCAGAAGAAGGCAAAGTCTTGAATGCCCCCCTCCCCACCCCCGTTGGTGCTGCAGGTTTCAGTTCAGCACAAACGTCTAACATGTTKTTAAAGAGAAGACGACAGCATGGATGTCCAGAGCATTTCACATCAAACCAGAGAAGAGAAATCAGATGTTTTTGATACAGGGTTTTATGTCAAGGAGGTGTAATTTTTTTAGCTTATTTTTGGTATGAAGATATATATTTGGTACTACAGTGGATTTTACTGTTCTAGTCGTAGGTGGAAGTGGACAGAGTGCAGATCCTCACCATCCCTGTCCCAAAAAGCGCATTCCTTTAGTTTAACTCTTTTAAATGGCCTGTTTTTTTGTTTGTTTTTTGTTTTTGTATTTGTTTTTAGTGTAAATGAACTCGATCTGAATCATTTGATCTAACTGTTCTCGTACTCCCACCCTGAAGTGGAGGGTTGAGATGTTTGGTACATTTTTAACATCCTTTCATGGTTACAAAAGCTGTCGATGTGAAGTTCTGATTTATCTGCAGGAGTTCCCTGAAGCACAAAGAACAATCTTGTTTATTTGTTTGATAGTCAGGTCTGTAAGCTGCTTCACCTGGCTCTTTCAATTCTAAAGTGATGCTGCCTCTTTGCTTCTGTACAGTAACTTATGTCTGTATTTTAACTGGGGGGAAAGAAATCTTTTAGAATTGACCTATTGTCCCAAATGTTTTGTCCTTGTGCTTTTAGATGCATAATATGGTTTTGAAAACTGTAATTTCTAAGTAATTTATTATACAGATCATGTTTTAGAAATTTAAATGATTTAGCCAAAATGAGGGATGAAAATAAGTCTTCTAGACATCGATTAGGAAACTTATAAACACTAGAAAAAAACAACTCTTAGTTTTGAAATTGGCTGGTTGAGTCATCTTACATGACATTTTCTTAAAGAATAATCTTTAAGAAAATGTCATTAAGTTCCACCTTAATGGAAAGAATCTGACTTTGAAGGATTTGATGTAACATCTATGCAAACCATTTAAAGGACTGAAGCCTTAAAATCCCCAAGCTGTGCTCCAGCAGCTTCAGTTGGCATTACTTTTGTTTCCACAAACATTTCTGRGAGGGTCCGTGCTCGTGTCCGTGTCACTTTGGCAGAGTTGTCTCGTACGTGGGGGGGAAACAAAAACCAAACTTTGAGGTCAGAGGAAACGTTTCGTGTGACGATGGTGAATGTCTTTGCGTGCAGGCCAGGGGCAGCAGCAGCGTTTTCCAAGCCCACGGGATGTCCCACTGCTGGATGTTCGATCGGGCTCACAGAACCACGTCAAGTCTTGGGACTTAAACGTGGAGTTGGACAGGTGTTGGAAACGTTTCCACCTGCCTTTTTGGCCCACAGGAGCAGAAAGGACTCACTTTCTGATGATAGTGACTGACTGAAGAGAATGAAAAATGTGTAAATAGAGTGCAGCCGTTTGTAGATGTCTCTGAAAGAGGCCTTAACAGTAAACCAGATTTTTACTTGCCAGAGTATCTCCTAAATGTTATGAAACAAAAAGATGAGATAGATGTTAAATTGTAAGAAAAAAAATGTATATTAAACATTTCTTAGTCTTGTGAAAATAAAGACTGCCAATATTTAAAGGAGTGTGGACAGTTTGTTTATTGTTGCTTCTATATAATGGTCTTGTATTATTTCTTGCACTATTATAACTGTTTGTTAGCAAAATATCTCAAACCACTAAATGGATTTTAGCTCAACGTTATCTGTTTAAGGAACATTTACAACCAAGTCAACCCAATTTTAAGATCACRTCCACAGCCAACTGACCATAGAAACGGTTAGGGTTATAACTGGTTATAACTCAGTTTTACTTCTATTGAGTTTGATGTGGTAGTGGCTGAGAGTCATTTCCAACACAATATGAATGTTTAAAGATTGAGCAAGAGTTCACATTATTGCAGAAGATCAAATTATTTTTCCAGGTTTAACCAAAAGAAGAAGAAATGGGGGGAAAAAGTCCTGAATCCATTTGAGGGAATAACACCTGAACCACTTGTTCAGTCAGATATGAGGATGTTACCTGGGTCTAAACCAGGGGCGGTTCTAGGGGCGGGGCCACAGAGACATTGCCCCAGCTGAAATCTGATTGGCCCCCTGAAGTGCCCCTGTCCTGTCACTCATC